ATTCATTGAATTGACGGGAAAATTAATATCATTGCTTTCGATGCTGTTATTATTGTTACTGATGTTATGATGATTGAATTGTCATTAGAATATTTTTGACAATAAGATGATACAAAAAACCCTTTCCTAAAGTGAAGGAAAAGGCTAAACAGGTGAAATAGGTAGTTCTTGATAACTGGCTATTTGGTGATTAAGAACTTGTAGAGCCATCTAGGTGTAAATACAATAAATAAACGTGTATCAAAGTGGGTATGGCATCTATTCTTGCCAACCGTGGCGAATGGGTTAATATGAATATGAAGAAATTATGCTTTTTATAAGGTAAACCATTTTAAAGGTTCTTGATGTATAAACAGAAATACCTAATTTAAAATTATTTTATCATTCTTGGTGGAAGGGAAGCATAAAAATGTCATCTTTAGTAATCATAGTTACCAGTTTCAGCTCAGTTTAATTTTTTGTTTATGATTTTCATTACAAATCTCTTGTAATAAATGTAAGATTTAAGATTAGTTACCATTCTTTAAACTGTTATTATTGGCAAGTGTCAGTCTCACCCAAGGATAGATGTATAACATACTTATATTTCTGTTACTCAGTTTGTAGAGTGTGACACAGGTTCTATGATGTTTACAGGTATCCACTATGGTAAAGCGAGCTGATGAGTGTGAAAGTCTTCAGGTGAAATGGCTCTTGGACTTCACTAGAGGTTCACGGGGAGACTACAATTCATGCAGCATGTTGCAGCCCCTTATAACCAGACATCCAAGTTCATGTTCTGTGCGTTTATGAGCACACGGTATAATGTTTGACAAATTATGATTTATTTGTTATTAATATATACATGCATCTCTATGTATGTGTAAATAATAGTATAGGAAGGAGGTTTCATTATTTATGCTGTAACTTTTGAGAATCTGAACATTAAATATTGAAAGTATATTATAGCTTCAGTTAAGTCTCCAGTGTTACAGTATGCTAACAGTACCTCAGATGTGTGCATGAGGATATTTCATTTTGTTTTTTTTGCGTGCGTGCATGCATGTGTGTAAGGTTTTCATAGATCAAAACTTATTCTTGGGTACTATTATTTATACTTTTCAAGTAACCCAGTGACACTGGGAGGGCATTTATACATGCTCTGTCTACTGTTATTTTAGTTTATTAATTGGGTTTGCACATTCATAAATCCACAAGAGCTTAGTCCATTTCTAGGCTTACCCCACCGGTTTATTTTGTACCTTTAATTTTGGGAAAGAGAAAGAGTAGTATATACTGTTAATAACATTATTATAATAATAATGATGTCAGTAATAGTAATAATAACATTATGATAATGATTATGATATCACTAATATTAATAGTAACTTTATTAAAGATAAAGGCTTTTTCCCCAAATAATCTAGGAATAGGGTAAGTAGGTGAGGCCAGATAGGCCTAGTCATTGATTCCCTGGTGAGTAAGCACTTGTGATGCCACCCATGTGTAAAAAAAAATAGGCAAAACAAAATTACAGTGTATCTAGTACCAATGACTTAACAAAGTTTATCCTTTGTAGGTCTCTTTATACCATACACCTGACCTCCGTGGTGTCTTGAAAAGCCTCATCCCTCAGCGCTGGAATGAAGTAATTGGCCTGCAGCACATGAAGCTCTATGTTTTTGATGACACTTTGGTCATCTCTGGGTGAGATACAGAACAATTTTATGTGACTTGACACATACCTAAAAGGTTTATGTAATGCATGTATTATATTTCACTTTTAGGGTGTGGGACATATGTGTTTGTGCAATTATCTTTGTATATACAGGGAAAGTATTGTGGTTGTTTTGTTTGTCTTTCTCCAATTGTTGAGTCAATAAAAGATATATATTACCTATTTTCAGAGCAAACTTGAGCAATGACTACTTCACTAATCGCCAGGATCGTTATTTTGTGTTCGAAAATTGCCCAGCTTTGGCAGATTTCTACCACTGTCTTATAGAGACAGTTAGCAAGTTTTCTTTCCTTCTACACAAAAATAACACAATAGCAATGCCTCAGGAATCAACTGTTCACCCATTCTTGGTATGTAAAGTCTTTCAGATATTTCAATATCCATTTGTGTGTGTGTGTGTGTGTGTGTGCGTGTGTGTGTGTGTGTGTGTGTGTGTGTGTGTGTGTGTGTGTGTGTGTGTGTGTATGTGTATGTGTATGTGTATGTGTATGTGTATGTGTGTGTGTGTGTGTGTGTGTGTGTGTGTGTGTGTGTGTGTGTGTGTGTGTGTATGTTTGGTATATATACCAGTATATGTTCATACATGTTTGTTTGTGTGGCTATATCTGTGTATATCTGCATGAATTAATAGTCATGCAAAAGATTCCCTTGAAAGTAGAGTGGCTCTAATGAGAGTAAAAAAAATGTATAAGGTTTAGAGTAAGAACATTATTACAGGACTTCAAGTTGCTGACATCCACAAACAGTTTTTGAGCCTAACATGTATTCAACACTTAGTTAATATAGTTAAAATATCAGTTAATGAGTAATACTATAATTTGAATTAGGAAAGAAGTAAAACTCAAGATCCATACAATATGCATTGCCTTTTTATAACCACAGAAAATAAGACATAATTCATATTTCTTAATACTTTTTATGAGGTGTCATATGTATGTGTCATATACTTCCTTCATAAGTTAGGTTATGGCTTTTTGGTTACTGCAGCTGTGTAGCTAGTGCATTTACTTTTCTTTTGTATGAATTGACCAGGGTGATTACAAGAAGTACTGCAGTGCAGTGAGAGAAGCAGTGGAGCATCTTTGGAGAAAGGAATGTGAAAAAAATGTTTTGAGGTTACAGCACATTATCCAAGGTCATCATCACCATTTACCCTCAGACAAGAGAGGGGATGACTCAAAGGGAGAGAGTGAGCCTAACAATATGCCTGACACTTTGATCTTTCCAACCTTACAAATGGGACCATTTGGCATCACAAATGATAGTCTTATTACAAACAGACTCTTGACCCAGGCTGAAGAGGGTGCAAGAATACAGCTGGCATCTGGATATTTCAACTTGACAAAAGAATACATGAAATGCATCCTATACCACTCAAGAGCAACCTTCGGCATCCTCATGGCTCATCCACAGGTATTTCTTATTACTTAGATGTAAAATGCTAAAAAATATATATAATAATAATAATAATAATAATGATAATAATGATAATAAGTTGTGAGGGAACAGAATCAAGGAAGGTCATTTGATCATGATCATTATTGGTGTCAACTTTGTCTTCATTCTTAGATTAAGATTGAAGACATGATTATTTGTAATAAAGAAAGTACTGATGTTGAGATTTCCTTTTGCTTATCAGGCCAATGGATTTCTGGGGGCACGTGGCTTTGCAGGAGCAATCCCAGCAGGATATACTCAGTTGGCAAAAGGATTTTACAAGAGATTGTGTCAAGAAAGACAAAACGACAGAATCTTCTTGTGTGAATATAAAAAGCCAGGCTGGACTTTTCATGTCAAGGGCCTTTGGTATTACCAACCAAATAAGCCCCTGCCACTGTTGACAATGATTGGCTCTCCAAACTTTGGTGAGTAGTGAAACTCCTAATATGATTTATTATTTTTTACTTTTTTTCTCTTCGTCCTTTTCCTACGTCTTAAGCAGCTTGTTTAACCCAAAACCAACTTATAAGTTTTTTTACACATAGATACTACTCTACTGTATCCTCCAGTCTTCTCCCAACAATTCTCTAAGCTTCCCCCCATTGCGGCCTCCCCTGCCATTTATTGTGTACCCCGGAGCAGTTCAGAAACCTTAATTGCATAGTTGCCTCACTTGTAAAAGTTAAAAGACAAAGTTCTTGTTTTGATAATAAAGCATATTTCCCATAACCTATTCGCCACTTATGGCAAGAATAGATGCCATACCCACTTTGATACACGTTTATTTATTGTATTTACACATAGATGGCTCCACAAGTTTTTAATCACCAGATAGCCAGTTATCAAGAACTACCTATTTCACCTGTTTACCCTTTTCCTTCACTTTAGGAAAGTTTTTTTTTGTATCATTTCATTGTCAAAAATATTCTAATGACGATTCAATAAGCATAACATCAATAACAATAATAACAGTATCGAAAGCAATGGTATTAGTTTTCCCGCCAGTTCAATGAATGGGAAAATCAGGGTCGGTAACTAGGGCCTACTGATAGACTCCTTGCCGGCTGAGCACATGTGGAGCCATCTGTAGGAAACAAAATTCACTAAAAACTGCAGGGGACAGAACATAAATCCGTGGCGAATGGGTTAAGTCTATATTTATCTGTATGAACTCACACTCAAGAAATTTTAATACTTTCCATTATACTAGTTTTTAGGCTTGCACTCAACTCATTGGAGTCTAGACAAAGGCTTTGTAAAATGTAAAAACTGTTATATGATTAGTTACTGGTTATGAATCATCTAGTGATGATAAATCAAGTAGAGGCTTGAATGTGGAATGCTTATTGATATTTAAGGCTTTTGATTTTGGTCATATCCTATTTACTTGAATTCATGGTTATTTCTTTATTTGCTACAGTTTATGCATTCCTGATATGAATTAAAATGTAGTTTTATGTAATTTTTATGGTTGCAGAGTTCCCCAAAAAGCCACTTCTATGACCTCAAATCATTTTTCTTATTTACAGGTTGGCGCTCAGTCAACAGAGACCTTGAGAGCCAGATAGTGTTGATAACAACTAATGAGGACCTCCAAAAGTCCTTGCACCAGGAACAAGAAAGATTATATAATTCATCAGATCAAGTAACTGATAAAACCTTTGGTCAGTCAGATAGATGGGTCCCATTTTGGGTGAGATTTGTGATGCCTATTATAAAAGTCTTCTTTTGAAAAATATGTTCATGTTTGTATATAAAGGTGCTTTGTTGGTCATAGACTTCTGTAATAAGTTGTTATTGTAAAGTTTATACATTCTATGGCAAATAAATAGAGAAAAATTAA